CGACTCGATCCCGGAAGGTCACCGCGCAGGGAGGTGGTGGCTGGCCTCGCCCCGCCCCGCCCCTGCAAGCCCCGCCCATAGTCCTGCCAGACCACGCCCCTCTGGACCCGCCCGTCCGGCCACGCCCCCTGAGCGCCTGGCGCCGCACAGGCTGGAGCTGGAGCCGTGACTCACCGCTGGAGTGAAGCGGGCGAGAGCTTGAAGTCCTGAGTTCAAACGCCAGACTCGGCGTGCACGCACGCGCGCGCGCGCACACGCGCACACACACACCAGTTCACTTAGCTACTTGGCATTGGACTTCCGGGTCCACTAGCGCCAATCTCCTCGTACTGGTCCGTGCGTCTGTAGTCGCAGATTGGGAGACACGTCCTTCTCGTAGGGAAGAGGCTCAGGCCGCCGGCCACCTCCACCGCCTCGCCCGGCCAGCCCGGCCCGCCCGGCCGCGCCTCACGAGCTTTCTGGGCGCTGGGCACCTTCCTTTGCAGGGCGTAGTTTGGCCTCATCGCTCTGGGGGCTCCTGTGTGCCTCCCCCACCTCACGATGCCCTCGCCGCTGTCTCCATGTTCCTCCGCTCTGCTGTATGCACCCCCTGAGGTTTGGCTCCTCCGCTCTGCTGTATGCACCCCCTTAGGTTTTGAAGGCTCCCCCGCCCCACAAAAAAAGTCTGGAAATGTCATCCCCACGTGTGCTAGGGAGAGACGGGCCCAGGTGCGGCCTTGAGAGCGCAGCTCGGTCAGGAGGGCTCTCAGAGGTCGAGGAAGCCATTCCAGCTGTGTACAGCAAGGCTTTGTCTGCCCAGTGAGTCTATTATAAATGTCAGCTCCGTTCTGCCTCTCAAATGTGGCCGACTTGAAGAATCCCCACCAACAGCTCCCTGAGCTTGGACTTCCCAATCTCTAAAACCGTGCACTTGAGGCTGGGAAGGTGGCTCAGTGGTAGAGTGCTTGCCTTGCATACATGAAGCCCTGGGTTCAATTCCTCAGCACCACGTAAGCAAAAAAAAAAAAAAAAAAAGCTAGAAGTGGGCTGTGACTCAAGTGGTAGAGCACTAGCCTTGAGCTGAAGAGCTGAGGGACAGCGCCCAGGCCCAGACTCCCCCCCAAAAAAAGTCCCTCTAAAGGGCTGGGAAAGTGGCTCAGTGGTAGAGCGCTTGCCTTGCATGCATGAGGCCTTGGGTTTGATTCCTCAGCACCACATAAGCAAAAAGAATAAAAGCTGGAAGTGGCGCTGTAGCTCAAGTGGTAGAGCGCTAGCCTTGAGCTGATGAGCTGAGGGACAGCGCCCAGGCCCAGAGTTCAAGCCCCACAACTGGACCAAAAAAAAGAAAAGAAATAGCTTCCCAAGCCAAGCACCGGTGGTTCACACCTGTAATCCTAGCTACTCAGGAGGCTGAGATTTGAGGACCATGGTTCAAAGCCAAGCCCAAGCAGAAAAAATCTTTATGAGGCTTTTGTCTCCAATAATTACTGAAAAAAGCTAGAAGTGGTGCTGTGGTTCAAGTGGTAGAGTGCTAGCCTTGAGCACAAAGAGGCTTAGGGGACAGTGCCCAGGCTCTGAATTCAAGCCCCAGACCAGGAGAAAGAGAGGGGAAGAGAGCGGAAGGAAGGAGGGGGGGGGCAGACCCATGAAGGTGAGTTGTGGTCCAGTGATTGCAGCCCACTCAGGTTGCTGAGTGGATGAACTCATCCTGTTGCAGTGGCCTTGGCTGCAGCCTGTTTCCTTCATCTGGGAAGAATGTAAGAGCTGGCCTCCAAGCCAGGTGCTGGTGGCTTACACCTTTAATCTTAGCTACTCAGGAAACTGAGATCTGAGAATAACAGCTTGAAGCCAGCCCAGGCAGGGAAGTCTGTGAGATTCTACCTCCAATTTACCAGCAAGAATGAAAAAGCCACAAGGCCTTACACTCTGGAAAGGCCTGGTCTTTCTATCTGATTACTGCAATGATTTCCTTCCCTCTATTTTCTCACTTCTCTTTCTGGAACTCCTGTTACTCAGGGTGCTGGACTTCCTGGACAGGTTATCCCACTTCCTAGGCTGGTCTTCCTTCTTCTGTGTGTGTGTGTGTGTGTGTGTGTGTGTGTGTATTACTTTTTGCTTTTCCAGGTGCCATTTGCTATGGACTGAAATGTGAATTCCCTCAAAATCCCTATGGCAAAGCCTAACCTCAGTCTGATGATTTTGAGATGCTTATGGCTGGGACATGGTCACAAAGGCAGAGCTCTCAACAATGGGGTGGATACTTATAAAAAGGAGAGGCCAGGTGCTGGTGGCTCATGCCTGTAATCTGAGCTACTCAGGAGGCTGAGATCTGAGGATCCCAGTTCAAAGCCAGCTCAGGCAGGAAAGTCCATGAGACTCATCTCCAAGTAACTACCAGAAAAACCAGAAGTGGCACTGTGGCTCCAAGTTCTAGCCTGTGTGAAAAAGTTCAGGGACAGTGCCCAGAACCTGGGTTCAAGCTCCATGACAGAGAGGGGTGGGGATCAGAGAGAGGGAGGAAGGGAGGGATGGGGAGAGAAAGAGAGAGAGAGAGAGAGCCCTCCTGTCCACCATGTAAAGATACAAAGAGGCTCTCATCAGACTTTGGATGAGCAGAAATCAATGTCTGTTTCTTATATCCCTAGTCTATAACTTATGACAACTAGAATAAACTGAGGTAAGATGATAGGGTAAATTATACCTAAATCTTATTATGTAGCTGAATCTAGTGCATGTAACATGCGTGGGTTTTCAGACCTGACCCTCCTGAGTAGCACGTGCCTAACTGGTACAAAACATAGCAGAGAGATGCGACCTTATAGCTTAGTATCATTGTCAGGCTTACAAACAAAAAAGAATGCAGAAGACTCCAAGTTCTCGTCACATTCTAGGTATAAAGGGCAAATATTAGATCACCTTGCATTATTTAGTCTATAAATATGTATTGCGGGATCGTTAAAAATTTATCCCGCTCGCTCTGGAGGCTGGAAATCCTCGGATCGGGGGTCTCGTTGTGTCTGGGGGAGTGGGTCAAGCGCACGTGTCAGGCCAGGCCAGGCCCTGAGCAGGGAGCCCGCAGACCGCACCAAGCTGGGGCGGAACCAGGGACAGGCGGAACCTTCCTTCCCAACCCCGTGTGTTCCCGGAGCCCGGCGGGAGACGCGCGAAGGGCCGCGCCGCACCGCGCAGCCGCAGTCGGGTCTCGGTAGCCACAGCAACGAGCGTGTGCCGTGTCTCGCCATGGGCGCGCGCGTTGCGCGGGGAGT